ATGTTGTTTCTGTCTCAAAGCACACTTGACATTTAATATGAAACATGGAAGTCAAAGTTCTTTTTTACTGTCTTGGGCCAATACTTACCCATATCAATCATGGACATGCTGATAGAGAATAGGAAAAAAATGCATAGTCTCCCTTACAAACAAACATATCTGTACTTTGAAATGCTATAGATCTTACACTTCAGAGCAAATTTGGAGTTGCAGACAATTTGCAGTTACAAACTTGAGGAGAGATGAATGGGTATGGATGAGCCTTCTGTTATCCTGGAACCAAGTCACCCACAAATTGGGAAAAAGATGTGGGGGTTTTGTGATATGAGTAATTTGGCAAAGCTAAAAACAAATTTACAAAATCCTTAAAAGACCATGGATTATTTAGGAACAGATGGTATGAAAGGCATTTGAAATCCCTCCTGTAAACTGTGTTCTACTTCATATAAACAATATAAACAGAAGCTCACAGACCAGGATCTTCCTCCAAATGGTTTTGACCCTAGTCTTCACATCTGGTATCACATTCCTGATCAATTAAGTTTTGAGTTTTATTTTCAGAAGGAAACAATGTCAGCGGGATTACTTTTCAAAGAAATCTCTTGTCATATGATTTGGAGAGTGGGAGATTAAAAAAGTGGCTTAAATCTCCTACTACCTGCAAAGAAATGCTCTTTTGAAAATTTGGAAACTCTAGTTCTGGCTGTGGCAATTTTTTCCCAATTGAAAGAATGTGCTATGATTTTTTGAATCATTTTTAAATTTTCATAATAGATTTTGCTGTGAAGTTCTATTTCACAACTCTGCTTATTATTTCTACAACACCTATCTACAACACTTTTAATGACATGAACTTTAGAATCACAGCCTTCATTGAAAAAATTGCATTTTTTTCTTTTGCCTTTCTTTTCTAAGCTCCTATGGTCCATCCACGTCATGTTTCTAAACCTCAGTAGCTTCCTTAACTTTAAAGCCTTAGTCTAAGGAGGTCCCTCTAGCGTGATGAATGAAGCAAATATTAATGGGAAAAAAACCCCACAGTACAATCACATAATTAAAGACTGCATTATAGACAAGAAAGAGAGAAATTAGAAATGCAGAAGCACAAATATTTCTGAATTTTCTAACTACTGAGTGGTCAAGTTAGCAAACTTAATGGTATTTCTTCAACACTATTTTTCTGCTTGTGCACTTATTCAAATTCAGACTTGACTAATGATGGAAGAAGAGGAAGCAAATTGACAGTCAGCACTGTGTCATGGACAAATCTAAAATTCTGGCTATATGGAAGATCCTCTTAATTAAAACCAAACTGAGAAAATAAGTAATGGGTAATGGGAAGCCTTTTGTCAGAAACATGGGTTGCATTTTGATTTCACTGACAAACCTGGAATATGAAAGTATGGACTGAAACACAATTCTGTATATTGGCAGCCAGAGGCATTCAAAAAAGTATGACTCATGTTTTAAAAACTCATAGACTGGTTTAACAATCATGGAGTTTACAGAAAATTTTACATGTTTTCCCTTTGTCTTCTAGTTCTTCAGTTTTAATAGCACATTTAATTTGCATTTCCAAGCATTATTCTGCCAAAATGACAGGTAGATTCTCATACAAGCTCTTGATTCCAGGAGCTAAGTGTTCGCAACAATGTGCTGAAAAAAATGAGCCTGGCAATGAAATCCCAAGATGGAAAGCATCGTTGCAGTCTCATACCGGTTCCAAATAATTTTTCTTGATGTAGTGCAATCATTAGGGAATTTTTGCTCTACTCTTTTCAATAAACAGTCCTCTAGTTTGACAATCTAAGCTGTTTACAGTGACTTTTAATAGCTATCTATCAATAGCTCGTCTTTTCAAGCAATTTAAAAGTCACACAAGCATATATATGTCACTCAACTTGTATTACAGTCATCTACTGTGAGTTATAAAGCACTGAAATTTCCCTATGAGACAAAACATCTAATACAGTAAAGACCTAATCTAGTTTGACTAAACTATCAACTTCATGCAAGAATGACTCATTAAGTCATGGTAAGAGTAAACCAAGAAATTCTGCATCCAAAATTTTGCCTGTACCATAACTTTGACCTGTATCTTTAAAATTACTTAAAAAACAAAACAAAACAAAAAAACCCCAAAACCACCCCAAAAAACCTTAGCATATATACATTTATTTATTTTTACATATTTTTATATTTGAAGAGAGTTACAGCCAATGAGTAAGCACTTTCCTCACACAGGCAATGTTAAACCAAATGCTAACATGTAACTAACTCTCATTGGCTTAAGCAGACCTTAGAATTCCAAAACCCCTGCAGATGTTTCACATAAAGGTGATAAAATAGGACTTTTTCCTGTAAGGTTCTACTCTTGGTATCTCTTTCTGACATGAAGAAAAATGATTATTTTTTTAGCCGAATGTCAAGAAAAGAGAGATGTGTCTCACTCTGGTCTGTAGTTGGAACTCAGAAAAATGTTAGTAGGTTACTTTTCACTACAAATTTAGAAAAATGCATTTATAAAATTATCTTAGCTGCAAACAAAAAAAAAAGGCTATCCAAATGGGTTTCTGTGAATAAAAAACATAGAACAAAATGAGTTCCCATTTGGCCAATGAGGATTTTTTTGGTTAAAGAAAAGTTTCAAATCAGTCCAGCTCCTGAAGTCTTCAAAAACCAGCTACAATTACACCCCCCCACACACACACACACCCCTTTTGAGTGGTGTTTCATTCTAAAAACTGAATATATCAGGGAAAACACTTACTTGAATTCATCTCTTGTGCACCCACTAAAATGCAAATAACCTTTCAAAATATACATCTTTACACAACATTTTCAACCTTTTAATAACCTTTCAGTCCTCCAGCACGCCATCACAGGACTGTTTTAAAAGCAGACTGGCAGCTTTTTCTATCCCTTCTCCAACTCACAGCCTTTTTCTCTTCTATAGAGAAGAAATGAGGGAGATGCTATAATCCATTCCAGTACTACTCAGCTGATGCATTTGCCAATTAGTGTATGAACTATCCTCTGAGAGCAATATTTAATTACTGCAGACATTTAGATGATATCATGAGATCCCAGCCAAGCCTCAAATATTTTTAAAATTACCTAGGTAACATTTTTTTTCTTAATTATTAGCCCACTCCCTCTGAAAAGCAAGGTCTCTAAATTAAAGAAATGTGGTAGATGAAATGTTATTTTTTTGCCACCATCAGCAAAAAGATTTTTCTCTATGAGGTTGTGTCAAATAAAAAACTTAGTAGGCCACTAATGGCCATGACCTGTGGCAGCCTTGTTGTACTGTGTAACTGAATTATTTCCTTTTCTAAATCTCCAAGCATGCCACTGAGAATGCTAGGTCAGCATACATAGTAAACAAATCACCAACCACCCAACAACTACTGTACCGTCTGCCTCCAGAATGAAAGATCTCTTCCCTAGCTTGAACTTTTGGACCTTGAATTTGACCCTGCCTGAGCTTTTGTTATGTTAACAAATGATCTTTATGGTAAAACTGTGAATCTACAGATAGGACTGGTGAGGGAAACACATTAATAAAGAATTACTTAAGTAAGTCAGGTTGCTTCACCCAAGCATACAAGCTCTCTAAATTTATTTCCTTCTCACCCTTCTGTATTGTCACTGCAGCTTTAATTTCTCCCTTCTCCTCCATGAATCCATTTATACTGATCGCATCAGTGCTCTTGGCAATTTATTCCATATTTCTAGTATTCTTTGCATGAAATAGCTCTGCTGGAATTCATGTTTACTTCTAATTTCAGTTTGTTTCCACTGTTTTTTCAAACAGCAAGTTACAGTTAATTAAAATAAATCTGAAACCCAATACATTTAGTATAGGAAATGTTTGTAAATTGATATATTTTTTTTCTTTAGGAATATTTTGAAACTGTATGTTATTAATATAGTTGCACAAATAATTACCCTAAATCTCATATTCACGTAATTACAAAAATAAAATGAACATCTGTTATTACAAATGCATAATGCCAAGTCATAATGTGTAGGTTAGGGGTTAACACAAGCAAATTGGTCACAGTACATAAACACAAAATAAATTATAGTATGGTAGTGTAATTACATTCCAACCACTATGTTAATTATAATTTATAACAAATCAATAATTAAAGAAAACAAGCTCTTCCTTTGGTTTCCTATTCAGATTCTTCTGCATAATAAATTATTCTATGTCAGCTAGAGTGGCACTGGACCATAACTCTGACAGCAGTGCATGGTGACATTATTTTTAATATGTAAGAGAAAGCTTAGTCTATATGCTAAATTTGAAAGAAATGTTTTGTTAATTAAACTGGGTGAAAAGTAAACAAGATAGAGTTAAACAGGGCATAGAAAATCCACTTGTTGACTGTCCAAAGAATTAAGTTAAGCATTTATTACCTTACAGATACTGACCTAAAGTGTTAATTTAAAATGTCTTTATTGCAAAATTAAATTAGAATGAGACAGATTCTCTAAGGACAGTCCTAGCAAAAAAACCAGAAAATCCAATCATATAAATATATGGCTGAAAATAACTTTTAGAGATATTTTATGCATTTTCTTTCAGTAAAATACAATCTTATCTATATCTTCTATATACAAAGAGAGAGATTTTTAAGAACAGTTTAGATACTGACATGCATGCAGACATACTCTGACAAGCGCTGACAGTGAGCATCAAGACGTTTTACCGGGACATCACCTGAGTAGTCTTCTCTACCCTCACAGTTAGAAGGTTAATCCTCATATGTAACCTAACTTCATTCTGCAGATTAAGTCAATTACCCTTTGTTTTCTATAAGAAGAATGGAAGCATTGTCAATGTCCTCATTATAGTTCTCTTTTCATAGGATGGTAAAGATATAAAAGAGGCAAAGTTTGTATGGAGAGATAAGCTCTTTTTAGACTGATACAGCTGGAAAAACAAATTTTGGGGCACTATGTTTCTTTATCAGGTCTGAGGAGAAGCAGAAATGCAGAAATATCTAGGTCTAGTAGAGAATGGACAGATATGTTCTTGTTGCTTCCTTCAGAAGTTTCTACTTTACCTAGAACTTTCTTTAAATGTGGTAGCAAAACTTTATGGAGTATTTTTTACTTTCTGGCAAGGCCAGAATTACCTAGGTAGCCTTACTGTTGAGGAAACTCATAACATATTCCTGTGGTACATGGCTGCAAATAAACTTAAACTAGAGTTTCCGCTGACAAAAAGAAAACGACTTGTACCTCAGCAATGCCGTTGATTTCAGTCATCTGCACATCACAGTAATCAGCAGAGGTACAGAGGGCTGTATGACAGTACTCATTTTGCTGTAAATGGCCATTTAGTAGCACAACTGGGTCAAGCTGTGGCAAAGCTGAATACAGTGTCAAAATTGAACTGAAGCACTTAGAGGTTGTCCTTGCTCAAAATCTGACAAAGTTTACCTCCAATGGCTCCAACAATACTTCCTCTGTGTGGTTTGAACACCCTGTGCAGGTTGAGCAAGACACATTCTACCATGGAAGTGCTATCTTAACAGTAATGACTGAAGCGCAGTGTGGGAAAGTGACGTTCCAGTTCCAGCACTCCTCGGACAGTGCTAATGGAACTGGAGTACACAGAGGACAAACACCTGAGCTCATTTTCTATGCATGATGCATTTCACCTTAATTGTATTCCAATACTGCCATGATGCACATTAAAGGATTTTTCAATTTTATTGCAAAACTCTACAGCAGTATGGAATGTTATGCTACTTACCTGCCTGCTACAGCAGGCTATACAAATAAGCAAAGGAATGCTCTGGAATTTAATCTTATTTTAATTATTCATAAGCTATTTGACTTAATCATTAAGACCGCAGCAAGCATAAAAATGTTAAATTTTGCAAGTACTCTACATTTATTTTGTATATAGATAACTAACTTGTAGACTGCAGCTCGTTTGGTTTGGGTTTTTTTTGTTGGTTGTGTTTTTTTCAGTGGGGAGAAATCTGGAGTAAGGAAGGTGTACTCTTGGTGGAACAGGATGAAGTCAGGGAATATTTAAGCAAACTGGACACACGTAAGTCCATGGGCCATGATGGGATGCACCCATGAGTGCTGAGGCAGCTGGCAGATGTCACTGCAAGGCCACTCTTTGATTGATCATGGCAACTGGGAGAAGTGCCTGAAGACTGGAGGAAAACAAAAGTCACTCCTATCTTGAAGAAGGAGTACACAGAGAACTACAGGCCAGTCAGCATCACCATGATCCTGGGGAAGATAATGGAGCCTCTAATCCTGGAAAAAATTTCCAGGCACATGAAAGACAAGAAAGTCGTCAGGAGCAGTCAGCATAGCCTCATCAAGGGGAAGTCATGCTTGACCAACTTGATAAACGTCTATGCTGAAATGACTGGACTGGTAGATGAGGGGAGAGCAGTGGATACTGTCTACGTGGACTTTAGTAAGGCCTTTGACACTCTCTTCCATAAGATCCTCAGAAACAAGCTGTTGATGTATACGCTGGATGAGGAAACACTGGGGTGGATTGAAAACTAGTTAAACGGCCAGGCCCATAGTGTGGTGGTCAGTGAAACAAAGTCTTGTTGGAGGCCAGTAACTAGTGGTGTACCCCAGGGGTCAATACTGGGTCCAATCCTGTTTACATAAATTGATTACTGAAAAAAATCTAAATCATTCATTAGTAACTCAGATCCATGTCCTGCAGAAATAAAATACTGAAACTATATTTACAAAATTTGGTGTGTATTTTAAGAACTTCCCCACATAATTTTTAGCACCTTTGTAAGAAAGATGACATTCTGTTTGCCTAAATCACTGAGGTATTTCTTTATATACCTCAACAGCTTTTCTATTAAATGAAGGATATAACTGAGCTATCAACAACAGACTTTAATCTGATTCAGTCACTAGAGACTCCAAAAAGATTCAAGATTCTTGATGTTATTCAGATATCGAATACCGCACACCATAAAACATCGACATAAAGTAGGTGTCTTTATGTTACTCATTTTCTGAATTTGGGTCACTGAGTACCTGTCACTATTTGCAATTTCTTTGAAACTTTTTTCTTCCTCAGAAGCTCAGGTGTCTTGACAGTCTCTACATTTTCATTTTTCTGAATTATTTGCGCCAAAAATAAGGATCTTCATTCATTTGCCTAGAAAATGCATCTGTACAACTATTTTCCTTCTACTAATGTATCCTGGTATACTACTTGTCTTCTGCTGATAGCCCACAAGAATTCTGGTCTTCCATATATCTTTTATTATATGCCAGTCCTGTATCTGACTTAAAGATCCTAATGCATCTCAAATGGTACAAATTGCCTGTATTTAGCCCACTGAATCAAGCCCAAAGCATAACTTCCTTTCTTTTGCTGAATTATTTAACTCTTACAAAATTTTGGACAAACTGGACCCTATGCTTAAGATTCAATGGCCAAAAAAAAGTTAATATTTCTATTAGAGGATGTCTCATCACCAGTTTCAGTTCTAATTTCAAGATATTTCCCAAGCAGAATGAAAGCTGGCTTCCAGGAAATTAAACCGCTTTATCAATAACTGCATCACAATTCTGGATTGTAATTCAACAAAAGCAGTTGAAATAAGTGGCATTCAATTTCTTCATTTAAGAACACATTTTTTTAGTTTGCTCAGCTGAATGCAATTGTGGCACAAGTCCTTGTCTGACAAGATAACACGTACTACTTTGTAGTTCCATTACAATCTTACTATTTTCTTCTTGTCTGTTAGTACCAAAAACTTAGGACAAATGTCATCAATCTTCTGCATGATCTTTTGAAAAACATGCACCACTTTGAGGTGACATGAAGAATAGGGTCTCTTATGCAACATAAGCTACATTGGCTACATTATTCTGCAGCAATATAATTTTATTTTTAGTACGTCAAATCTCAGCATTGCAACGATTCCACTTTGATCCATAGTCAATATGTTATGAGAAACACAACTTAAATCTTAGTGCTGAATGCCCTGGTAATTTCTTGCTTCATCATCCAAATATTGCAGAACTGTGGGAATCAAGGCTTATAAGACTTGCAATTATTTTGATGGGATTTTAAAACTCCATACTTATATAAAAAGAATGAAAAATAACCTTCCTTAAAATGAATCAAACTTGTGAAAAAGAATGACAGTAACATGCATTAAAAGTTATTATCCATGCTTTTCCTTTCATTTGTGGAGTACAGTATTAGCCAGGATGACCTCCTTCATGTGTTATGTAATTAATAGCGGAATTAAAATTTACCTTATTCATTTTCCTCTTTAGAGAAACACAGTGAGTGTAACTAATTTGGAACCTTTTTCACTAGAGCCTTTATTGCTTGATGAAATGATGTCTTAACCCATCATAAGAAGTGGTATATATATTATATTGTCTGACGGGATTAGCCAGTGAAAAATACTTTCATTAGTTACTTTGGTTGAATTGTATACAAATGAAATTATTCCTTACAGAAGTACACTGGCATAAGAAATATGTTTTTCATTTTTCACCAAAGGCAAAATCATTCCTATTGATGGCTGGACGCACAAGAAAGAAAGGGAGAAGCAGAGGACATGGGAAGCCTGTCTGGGAACCTTAGTTTGATGTATTGGCTGTGTCCAAACTAAGAAATAGTTATATTCATGTTTCATAGTCCTTACCCCCTCATGCCAGGCAGAATCTCTTGCAGAGTGCACTGCAGATCCATTCCTGTATATACATGCACATTTCCTTTCAGAAGAAACAGAGTTCATAGGATGGAGTATATCAAGACCTGAGAGCTGGAAATCACTCTCTGATCATCCAGTTCAGACATTGCTATTGAATGCATAGGGATGGTCCAAAATTCCAGTGAAAGTGTTTCTCCTCAGAACATGCTGATAGGATAAGGCTTAAATGACTTTTTTTGTATACTTAGGGAAAAAAATAGACTCTAGTGCTGAATGGATGAAAAAGTGAAAATTAGATTCCTGCTCTGAATCACCCACTAGAGAACCTGTTTTGAAATGATTCAGAGCAGTAGCCTATATCTAGGTACTCCAAACTGCTTCCTGCAGCAGGGTCTCTCTCATCACCAACTACAGAGGAAGCCTAAAGGTACTTGGTTCCCCAGGCTAAAGTGATCATTTGTGAATACCAACCCCTGTCACTCTCTTACTAATATTTGACTGGAGTTCAGGGTAAAGGTAAAATTTTAATGATGAATGGTCCGTACTGTGCTACACTTGATACAATGGAAATTCATTGTCAAGGAATCAAGTTCAGGGTGGGACACACACACACACACGACACAGCAACAACTTCTAATCTTTCTAAAAAGCATAAAGAGTGACAGAAAGGAGTTTGCTGGTTTATTACTTTCTGCATGTTCAATGTCTAAGCATTTGCGATCCTGCCTATTCTTTCAGGACATAGCCACCTAAGTCTGCTAGGTCTTCATGATGCAAACAAAACTGACTATACAAACACACTGTGCATGTTCTTTATGTGAGAATGCAATGCACCTTCTTTGCTTGGCATGATGTACACCTGTTTTTTTTCTTTCCCTGTGGACCATTTTACTTAGTGTTCTATAAGAACAACTGTGTAATGCTTATTTTGCCTAAGGACCCCACCACAAATATAAGCATCCACCATTGGGGAGCAGAAGAGAACAGGGGATAGGAGGGAGGAGACTGAGCTTTTTTTGTTAATTTGCTTTCTTCAAGCATTACCACTATTATGCTTTTACATGTTATTAGTGTTATGAGAGACACCATTATAAAACAGAAGAATGTGTGATGGTAACTGTGCCATTAAGGTCTCTAGTGGAACATTAATTATTGATCTTTGCCTCAAAAGCATCAGAATGTTGTATTAGAGCTGCAATGAACTGTTCACCTTACAAGCATTCAACTGAACTATGTCATTCAAAGGTGACAAGGTTTAGCTCTACTACTATATTCAGAGCACTCTGAAGACTGCCAGGGAATTGCAAACACAGCCAAACCTGCCTAACAGAAATAGGATATCTGACACAAATAACCTCTTTGTTGGACAGGACATTTTTAAGTCATTCTCAGTTTCTTATTCCCTGTTCTTCTTCTGAGTTCCCTTGCTTCCTGCAAACCATGCTTTTAGTGATAAGGGTCTGGCAGAGGGTTTATCACTCTTCTTAAGTGAGTGGTGCTACAATCAGTTCTGTTGACTCATTCAGGGATGAAAGAGCCTTGCCGGTAAACTCCCAGACTTACAAGCCAGTAGCCCTCCCCAGTAGGTGTTCTACCACAAGTAAATAGTGGTCTCCCTGCTGTGATACGGACTGCGATAAGTACACATGTGGCAGAACACTACTCAAAATCAATTGCTGGGAGAAAGTAAGGCCTCTTTCTGCTGCAGTGCCACCAGCAGAGCCTCTCTCCTTGGTTTTGCAGGAATTCTGAAGTTTCCTTCATTAATTTGAGCTACTGAAGAGTTACAGCCCTGCTGACAGAGAAACTGTCTGGTATGATTTTTTTATCATGTGGTGTCAGATAGCACAGCCATCCCCCTTTAGTTCCTGCTGTTCAGAATCATATGCCTTACTTTTAGCATTAGGGACTGACACATGGTAGGACTAAAAAAATACTTCAGGTAGATATCTTTTAATCACCTGTGACTATA